TAGGGGGGGAGGAGAGGAGGAGGAGGAGGAGAGACGGCAGCTTTGTGAGGAGGAGGCGTCCGGCGGTCTTTACTCCATGTCCATGTATGGCCGTCCTGTCAGGAGACACACAAACAGAAGAGAGACAGAGAATGAGAGACAAACCAGGAGGACAGGAGGAGAAATGAAGCCGTCAAGAGGAAAAGGAGGGAGGAGAAGGAGTCACTGGGGAGGAGGAAACGAGGAGATAGGAGGAAAGAAGGGAGCTGAAAGGAGGAGATGTGCAAGCAAAGGGAAAACGAGGAGTAGGAGGAGTTCAAAGGAAGGAAGGAAGAAGGAAAGGAGATAAAGGAGAAATTGTTTTGTCAAAAGGAAGGAGAAATTCAGAAAAAGAAAGGAGGAGGAGGAGAGAGGAGGTGTGGAAGATGAAAGGTAAATAGAAGGAAGGAACGAGGAGGGAAGGGGAGAGGAGGAGGAAAGATAGAAGAAAGGAAAGAAGAGGAGACAAGAGAAGGAACAAGGAGAGGAGGAAAGGTGTCATAAATGAGACATTGAGGAGCTTTTACTCTAAATGAACCTTAAAAGATTCAGGTCAGGATTTAAAATCAGACTCAAACCAACAAGTTGGTCGTCCGTCCCTCAATTCTGTCCCACTTCCTGTCTGTGTCTCTGAGCTCCGAGCTCATTGCTTCCTACTGAGAACCTTTGAACTTTAACCTTTAACCTACAGAGACCAGATCCAACGTCTTTACTCGTGGTTTGCACAAGTGGAGAATCTTAAAACATCTGCCGTATTGACCTCTAACAGCAGCTCCTAATGAACTTTGTTTATATGCAGAATACAGAACATGTACAAAATATCTTCATTTATTAAACATAAATATATACAAACACAATATTCTGATTAATAAAGCTGAGAAGCGTTGAGTCTACACCACGTCGATCCTCTGCTTCCTTCTCTAACGTCCCCTGAAATCATCTTCACGTGTTTAAGATGAAGAAATGAAGCTGCAAGTTATTAAATATGATTTATTTTTTTGTCTCCCTCTGTGTTCTCCTTTCAATAAACCAGCTGCAATAAGGTTTCCTGTGAAATTTTTTTCTCTTCAGATGAAAAGTTATTGTTGCCAGTTTATTGGATAAAGTCCACAGTGGGAGCAATATATATACAGTATATACATATATATATACGTATATATATACGTATATATATACATATATATATACGTATATATATACGTATATATATACATATATATATATACGTATATATATATATACGTGCTGTCAATGACAATAACAGCACATCTGATCTCTACTGGTCCTCGTTCCTTCACTCAGCAGCTCCTCTGTGTCACAGATCCATCAGCGACGGGAGGACGAGTTATGGAAACTGCATCACACAGCAGGACTATTTGAATGACTTTGGGGTGTCTCTTGTTGACGACGCCTCGGCTACTAAAAGTACTGAGGCACGTTAATATACTTGCCGGTTGCACTCGGGGGACAAAAGCACATTTTATCATTATTATTGTTTGATTCAATAAAATGTAGCTCATGGTTTAACTTGTGTCCCTTCTGGCAGCACAGCCAGCAGCTCCTCACAGCTGCAGAAACCTCTTTCCAAATGGACATTATTTGGATAAAGTTCTAGAGGAGACCCCTCGACTATGAAGGGGTTCATGGTCGAGCCCCCGGGGTGGGTTCTTGTTAGCACCCTTAAAGGGTGGAAAGCTTCTGGATAGAACCTCCAGAGAGGTTTCTGGGTGGAACCATTACACAATAGAAGGCTTTTCTGTAGAATCTGGGTGGGATCTTTAACCGGTTGTTCGAGGTATAACCCTTTGTGTTGGGTTCAAGATGGGTCCTGGTAGAACCTTTATAAAAGGTTCTGTCTCTCTGTCCGTCCGTCTGTCTGTCTGTCAGTTCTTCTGTCCATTTGTTCATCCGTCTCTTCCTCCTTCTGTCTGACTGTTCATCCATCCTTCCGTCTCTGTCGGACTGTTCGTCCGTCTGTTCCTCCTTCTGTTCGTTCTTCTGTCCGTCCTTCTGTCCATC